TTTGTCGAGAACTCGGTTTTTTCGTCGGGAACGCAGAGAGAGAAAGAGGATAACTACTGCAAGTTTTTAAGCCTAACTACTCTTAAAATGTTGTGTATTGTCTAGCAACACTTTATATATTATGATATTGATATTTAATTGCTAATGTGGTTTAGGTTGAAGTGGTCTTTGTTGTAAATATATTTTGGTGGATATTGGTATTAATTAGATTGGGCCAAAAGCTTATTAGTATTATTGAATTGGGTCAGAACTCCATTAGCCTAGATTAAGTTATTTGTGTTATATATATTGGATCATATGAGAATGACTTATAATGAAAGAAATAAGAATGAATCGCAGTGGTCGGATGAGATATATCTAGACGTGGATACGGGCCACTCGGCCCGCCGACCCGACACAAATCTGGTCCGGTCTAACACGTTGGCCATGGGTCCGGGCCAGGCTCGAATTTCAATCGGGCCGGTCCAAGGACTTGTTTTTGTTGTCCTTGGCCCGACGGGCCGGGCCGGGTCGGGTCCAGTCCGACAAGGAAAAACACATTGTTGTTAATTTTTTCTTTTTTACTTTTTTTATAAGGGCGGGTCCAGACCCAGGTCGGTTCCCAAACATTATTTTTAATGATTGAGTTCTGTTGACGGACGTTTCCGGTCAACGGTTACAAAGTTAAATAATGGAAAGAAAATAGGAAAAAGACATGGAATTGGGGATCAATTACGATTTTATTAAAAGATCACGAGGTCGGCCTCTCGTACGAGGTCGGCACTTGCGATATACTTACAATTTCTTACACGAGTTTCTTACAAGTCTAGAGAGAGAAAATATAGAAAGAGCTTTTTACAGTTGGGATTCAACAACCCAAAATAAATGAAGTGGGTTGCTATTTATAGTGGCCTTAAATGTGACACTGTTCAGGCACTGTTCACCAGTCTTGTCGTACAGTGTTCTTGCAGAGTGGTTCGGCGCCTCCCTGACAGAATTTAATGCGATTTGAGGTTTTCCTCATCATTGTCTGACAGGCATTTAATGCTGACAGGCTTTATGTCGTGGCTAGCGGAAGTAGGTCAACAGGCTAAGATGTCCCATCCATTAACCAATGATTACCCTCCAAGTGGCATTATTATACTATTATCGAGATCGGCAATCCTCATTGTAGGGACCCGTTCTGAGACTCCAGGTCGGCACCTTTTCTTCGTTTGTTCCTCCAGTTCTGGGGAACCTTTCTTCCAGCCCGTCACTCTTCAGATCGGCACCGGGGCTTCACAGTCGCAAACGCCGAATTAGCGGACGGACTCATGGGAACGTCTAGGTCAAAAAGTTTTCCGGTCCAACTCGGCACTTTCTAACCGGACCGGGTATCCAGTTCGGCTCTCTCGCGGTCGTCGCCGTGGACTACTTCACGAAATGGGCAGAAGCCGAGCCACTCGCCACTATCACCGAACAGAAAATGATCGACTTCCTATGGAAGTCCATCATATGTTGCTTCGGGGTGCCGAACTCTATAATCACTGACAACGGAAGACAGTTCGAGGGAAAAAAGCTGGAAGCGTTTTGCGAAGAGCACGGCGTCAAACACTTCTTCTCAACACCCTACCACCCTCAATCCAATGGCCAAGTCGAAGCCGTTAACAAAATTATCAAACAAGGGCTCAAGGTCCGACTCAAAGCCGCGAAAGGAGCCTGGCCAGAAGAACTCCCGAATGTGCTCTGGTCATATCGCACAACAGCGAGATCGTCTACGGGAGAAACGCCGTTCTCCTTGGCATACGGGACCGAAGCGATGGTACCTGTCGAGCTCGGCGCCCCAACTTTTCGAGTAACCAACTTCGAGGAGGAGTCCAACTCCGAGTCGTTAAGAGCAAGTCTCGACCTGATAGACGAGCACCGGTCACAAGTCGAGCTCAGAAACGCGGCATACAAGAGACGAAGCGAGAGATACATCAATTTCCAAGTCAAATCCCGCTCCTATCAGGTCGGCGACTTGGTGCTAAAAAGGGTAACGAGGCCTGACCCCGGACCACTAAAACCGAAATGGGAGGGGCCCTACAAGATCAGCGAGGTCCTTCCCCACGGGGCCTACCGTCTCGAACACCTGGACGGCACCCCCCACCAATACCCGTGGAATTCGGCATTTTTGAAAAAGTTCTACCAATAGGTCCAGGACAACCTTGTATCTTTCACTTTTTATAACTTTACTTTATAAAAGATGAACGAACCTTGTAAAGATGTATGCTTTCTACTCGTTACTTTGTAATTTTACCCTTGCCTTTAATAAGTGTAGATTGAGTCGGAGCGGCGTAATTAACGTAAGGAACGAAGTGTCGGCCGGGATCAGTACGATGACCTGGTCGGCACTAGCTGGGCTCAACTAGGAAGCCCAGTTAGGTCAATAATACCTCCGAGTCCGAACGCGAGACCGGTTAGGTAAGCTGCCACATAATTATGTGCAGGCCGGGTCAGTACGATGGCTCGACCGGCACGAGCCGGGCTCGGCAAAGTAGCCCGGTAAGGCCACTGCGCCAATGTAAGTAAACAAAAAGTACCGAGCCCAATCTCGGGCCCGGTCATGTAAGTATAAAAAAGTGCTCATCCCGGTATCAAGATCATACTTGGTCGAAAATATCCATCCATTCATAAGTAACAAAGCACAAAAACACATTCACTCAACACAAACAAGAGCAAGGATACTCGAACATAAATGAAATTAGATAAACCATGCATTCGAAAATAAAGTTAGAAATATTCATTACATGAACAAATTGTTTTAAAAAATAAGGCCACAGGTAGGGATGGCAATGGGGCAGGTCGGGCCGGGTAGTTCAGTACCCGGACCTGCCCCGCGATCATAGGCCCGCGCCCCGACCTGGCCCGTGACCCGCCACGGGTCCAGGAATGCCGCCCCGCGACCTGGCCCGCGCCGGGGCGGGCCGCCCCGCCCTGGCCCACCTTTGTTTTAATTTTTGCCTACAAATTGTCTACAATGGAATGAACATGATGGCCCTAGTTTTTGGGCTTTACATGGGCCATTGTTTTATTTTTTTAGTTCATCAATAAACCCAAAAATCATAAAACAAACAATAACATCATTACAACACAAAAAATCTAATAAATTAAACAACAGAGAACATACATAAATAAGTAACTAACATGACCAAAATGAAAACATTTGAAAAGGGTCTATCCCAATTTAAAGCATATCCAAAATACAAGGGTCAACATTAAATAGGTAACAAAATGTCTAACAAGCCAACAAAGTTTTTCCACAATGAATAAAAAAAGTATGCCTTCGATAATAACAAAGTGTCGCCCTTGTCAAGATGAAATCCTCCCAATCGACCTTCATACAAATAATAAAAAAGATAAGCTTAAATAGAGCCAATAGTATATAAAACAAAACTAAAAAATATGATTAAAAGAGAATCATATCATACCTAAGTCTCGTTATCCTCGTCATCCGAATCATAAAAAACCGTTGCATTTTCTCCAAGTGTTTTATTTTCTACATTCAATACAATACAAAGAAAAGTAGTATGCATAGTAAATAAAGACTTACCATATAATGTACTTAAACATCAAATAAAATTTATATATTAATAGAGAGAATTACCTTGCTCGCATTGCATCCAACTTTGTGAACACATCAACGCCTCAATAGTTGTGTAGTGAAGTCTACTACGATGAGGACTAATCAATCGTCCGCTTGTACTAAAAGCGGACTCGGAAGCAACCGTAGAGACTGGAATTCCTAAGATATCCCGAGCAATTTGATGCAAAATTGGGTACTTGCCTCTATTAGAGTTCCACCAATTTAAGACGTCGAAATCGGGCGTTCGTGGTAGAACGTCCTCATCCAAATACAAATCCAACTCCGATTTTGTAGACTTTCTTTTTCGTTGAGAGGCATACAAGTCATATCCACTAAGTGAGGGGTCATCAGAAAAATTAGGATCAAGCAAGCCACTTTTATCACCACTTGTCTTCTCTTTAGCCTCGTATTGTTGTACCAACTCACGACAAATATCAAGAATCTCTTCAACCTCAAACTCACCATTGGTATCATAAATCATTGGAAAATAGTACTCAAGCAAAACACATTTATATCTAGGATCAAGCACAGTCGCCACTCCCATGATACCATGCACATCAGACCAATAATTATTAAACTTAGCCAACATTTCTACAGCCATTGACTCCACCTCACCGATACCGCAAGTAACCCAATTATTCAAAGCAAGCTTTATCTCACAAATTTTAGGAAAATACAAATTTGCAGTGGGATACTCGGTACCAGAGAACAACTCAGTCGCTTTATAGAATACTTGCAATCTCCGACAAATTTCCTCAGCCATGTGCCAATCACTTTCACTAGGCAAAGATTTATAATTTGGATCCCGAACATTTAAGCGAGAAAACACTTTTTTATAATCCAAAGCTGTTTGTAGCATCAAGTACGTGGAATTCCATCGAGTTTTACAGTCAAGTGTAAGTTTCTTACCAAGTTCCACACGAAGCTGTCGAGCCGACTCCTCGAATTTCTCCGTTCTCTTAGGAGTCGCGGTCCAGTAAGAAACACTATCTCTCACCTTCTCAATGGTTTTTCCAATGACGCGCAACCCGTCTTGCACCACCAAATTCAAGATATGAGCTGCACATCTCATATGCAATAATTTCCCGCCGCATAGTAGAGAGTTCGATGAAAGTTTCTCTAACAACAATCTCATCATAGCATCATTCGTCGAACAATTGTCCACCGTGATTGTGGATAACTTGCGATCGAGGTTCCAATCTAAGAGGCATCCAGTTAAAGCTTCACACAGAACTTCGCTAGTATGCGGGCTAGGCACATAAATGAACCTGCAAAAAAAAAAAAGTATCATCCATCAAGAATACAATGTGTTACGGCAATACGATATGTGTATACAATCTAGTAGAAAACTATAAGTTTCTAATAAAAAAATTATTGTAGATACCTGATAATATGAGACTGCAACTTCCAATTGTTATCAACATAATGTGCAGTGACCGCCATGAATCCTCTCTTCTGGTGAGAGGATGTCCACAAATCTGTTGTGATTGCTACTCGACTCTCATTCACCTCAAAAATGTGCATCACAGATTCCTTCAACTTTTCATAAATCTTAAAACAATCACTCTTTACTGTGTTCCTTGTTACCATTTTAAAGCAAGGATTCAAACTTTTTGCAAAGTTTTTGAATCCTTCATGCTCAACCATCTTCAAAGGATACTCATGCTTGATGATCATTTTCGCTAATTCTTTACGTGATAGTTCTTGATCAAAACTATAGGGCGACAACTCAAATTTTTCCTTCGAAAAATTGCCTTTTAGGACCATTTGTCTAATGTCCTGTGACTTTCTTGATTTACATCTTTCAAAATGTTTTCTCAAGTGACTAGTTCCTTGGCTTGGATTACCTAGCATATATTGCTTGCAATGTTTGCACTTAGCCTTTAATGTTCCATTCACCATCACTGGCCTCTCATACTGTTTCCATATTTCGGCTTTAAGGTTTCCATAGAGTTCATCATTTCCGGCTGCCATTTCATTTTCATCACAATCCAAAGTCCGTGGATTCACTGGAGGGCTCATCTCGTCTTGAGGAGTATGCATACAATCATTGACAGAAATTGGCGATGGCAATGGTGGTGAATTCTCAGGTGGCATATCAACATTCTGGCTAGAAGTAGGTCTTTCTCCGTGATCAACCATCCTGTGGATAAATTTGAAAAATATAGTAAGCAGTATATAATTTCAAGTATATAATCCGCAGCAAAAAAGCAAGTAGCAGGTAACAAAAATGTTAATAATAATGAGATGATTGAGCCATTAAAAATAAACACTAAAAGATATCAGGTTTGCATTTTTGTTCATTTCATTTATGAAATTCACTTAAATTTTCTTACTAATTTCTAAATATAATATTGCACATGAAAAGTTATAACCAAGATTACATATCCATGCGTAACCAAGCATTTCAACATACAACAACTGTTATGTAAAGTAAAATTTTGTGGAAACAATTTAATAATATTTAGATGTCAATTTATTAATATTTGGTTGTCTTCAAATTAATTTAACTATAAGCGTTATTTAATTAGAGACGTGAGTTTTGGGTCATTTTCTTATTACAGAAATGATCAAATTTGAACAACAGGTTCACACAGCTAATCTCAACCCTTCATTACACATAAATTAAAATAAAATCTAATGGTTAGAAATAAATAAAGAATAAACTAATAAAACTTAAGAAGTTTAACCTAATCAATAATTTGGGGTAGCAGCCAGCACGAAACACATCAGAGAAATGGAAGAAGAGACACATACAGGAGGAGAAGATTCAAAAAAAAAAAAAAAATTGAAACAACAACAACATTCATAAGAATCACAATTAAATTAAATTAAAAATAAAAAAGAGAGAGAGAAAGAGACACTGAAATGGTCCCTTAAAAACCATATGCACACCAATTGATTGCAAAAAAGTAAAAACCATCAATATAACAAATCAGTGCAACAAATTCGATCCCTTTGAAGCTGAAAAAAAAATATTAAAAAGAACCCATTATAACACGCAAGTAGCATTTGCAGGATTATACAAGTAAATCTTGAACCTGGTAAAATTTTCCAACAGTGGAATAGAGAGAGATGCACAAATGGGTTTGGATCAAAAGCAGCGAGGCGTTGGAGGCGGCGAGAAGTCAGAGGTTGTGTCTCAAAGACGGGGAGGCGCGATCACGAAGAGGGACTGAGGAAGACTGGGAGAGACCGGAGGCGACACGATTTCAAAGAGAGGGAAGAAGACGATCCTGCCTGCGGACTTGCGGTGGCTATCTGCTGGTGTTTGGTGCCAGATTGAGCGACACGTAAGTAAGTAAATACGCAACACGGCACCAAGCCCACACTTGGAAAAGTCGAGAATAAACACTCGTCCACTCATGAGTAAACAAATATTCGAAAACCCATTCATCAATGATAACATCACTCGCTTAACACAAATAAGGGTAAAGATACTCAAACATAAATAAAATCAGATAAACCATACGTTCGAAGATAAAAGTTAGAAATATTCGTTACATGAATAAATTGTTTTGAAAAACAAGGCCACAGGCGGCAGAAAACATCAGGGCACGCAGGCCCGAAAGTAAGCACCCTCAAACAGCGAAGTCGGGACCCTCGGCAGCAACCTCGGCGCCTGCCCCCGACTCCTCGGCATCAACTGTTTCGGTCGCCACCCCGACCGTCTCCACCGCATCAGCCTCCTTCGACCCCGAGGTGCCGACTCCTGCCTCGGCGTCCGCCGCCGCCTTCGCCGCAGCCGCAGCCTTCTCCGCCTCCTCCATCTCGGCGATCACGGACAGCACAACCCCGCGTCTCGGCCGGGACTCGGGCTCGGCCTCGGGTGCGAACGGCTTGTACCCCGGCTGAAGCTCCCCGGGGGTCAGCCGCCACGTCTCCAGGGAGGGAACGGCGCCGAACTTCTCGAAGCCGACGATGATGTCGTCGTCCCAACCCCGGAGCCTCCGAACCACCACGGCTTCATCGGGGTCGACCTCGCAAACCTGGCCTTCGAAATCCAAGTCATGCCGGCCCGCCTTCTCAGAGAGGATAGCCCTGAAATCGTCGAGAGACAGCACCCCGGCGTCCAGCCTCTGGAACAACCAGTAAAGGTTGAAGGCCGCCGCCATGTCCATGTTCTCCCTCATCTCTTCGAAGTACTGAGCTTGGACCTCGGCGAAGGTTGCCGGCGGAGGGAGAGCGATGGGTTCACCGTCTATCTGCTTGGCGGCCTCCTTCAGGAGGGTGAGCTGAGAGGTCAACCTCTTCCCGTAATCCGCCAGCTCGGTGGCCTCCTCCTCATAATTCTTCTTGAGCGCGGCCACTTCGGCGGCGTGCAACTCGGCGAGATGAACCAGGTCGGCTTTGTGGGCCTCCTCAGCCGCGGTCACCTCGGCCGCCCTTCTCTCCTCGCTCTTCGCCAGGGCCTTCTCCAGCTCGGCAATCCTGGCATCCCGAATCTCCGTCGAGTGGAGTAGATCTTGTTCAGCCCGGGCCGCCCTCTCCTCGGCCTTCACCGTTGCGCCCTGCTGAAGGACAAGCTGATTCTCCAACACCTTCGCCTTCTTAGACTCGTCCTTCAGCTCGTTGATCCGGCCTCGGCAGACCACGTGCTCCTCCTCGAGTTTCCGCAGGGCGGCGCCTTCCTTCTGCGCCTGCTCCGCGACGTGGACTAGCTCGACCATGGCCCGGCCCATGGTCGCCATGGCGTGAGATGCAAGTTGGGGCAGTGAGAGCATGGGGAGAGCAACCTCGGCAGTGGGGGTCCACGAGGTCAAGACGGTCCGCGCTGCCGACATCACCTGCCCGGGCAGGTTATAAGGATTGGGCAAGTCGAACGGAACCGCCGACCGGGCATCGATGAACCATTGGTCAGGAAACCGCTCGAGGCTCCTCGAGAGGCTGGCCTTGCGGGCCGGGTTCACCGGGAAGTACGTAGAAGAGCCGGCCTGATGAACGAAGGTCGAAGACTCACCCGCCAAAGAGCCCGGCTCGGCCTCGACCGCCCTACTCTTCTTCGGAGGCGGCGGCGCCTCGTTCTGAACCCCTACGCCCCCCTCATCGACGTCCTCCGGCTCTGGCTCTTCCGCGAGGAGTCGACGCTTCCTTTATCGTGGGGGAGCGCCACCTCGGCCGCCACGACCGCCATAATAATAACAAATATTATTATTAGTCAAAGAATATGAAAGAAGAAGATATAATAAAGAGATTGGTAAAATCATTATTTTTTTTCTATCTTCTTCGTTCATATACTAGTTAGGCCACAAACCTAATTATTCCACCATATCATTTTTTTTTTCTCTTTATGTCATTTTCATGATCACAAATTCATGAATGACACTCGTTCTATATTTAACACTTAGTTAAAAGAGAATGAATTTTATGTAACAAATACATAAATATATTCTTTTATTAAAAATGTTGGAGGAATAAACGTGGTCTGATACCACTGTTAATGGTTTTATATAACACATATATAAATATATATAGGACTAACCTTTATGTAGCAGAAGTGAAAACTTGCATGTATGACACTCGTTCTATATTTAACACTTAGTTAAAAGAGAATGAATTTTATGTAACAAATACATAAATATAACACTGTTAATGGTTTTATATAACACATATATAAATATATATAGGACTAACCTTTATGTAGCAGAAGTGAAAACTTGCCTGTATCTTTTAACCGACTGCTACTAGAGTCGTCGGTATCCTCCACGCTCTAAAACCTGAGCCGCCTTGATGCTTTCGGCTCAACAAGAGAATATGCAGTAAATAAAGATATATGTAGTATTTGTGTTGACCACCTATTTGACTTTGGATATTTTGTTCTTTATTCTCTCCTTAAGATGCACAAAACATCTACTTATATAGTTGTCTCCCAAATAGACAAATTCAATAGAGATTTAACTCCAAACTACATAACATAGTTACTTAATGGGATTATTTAACAATGTCATTAAATAGGTGTTTAATTAATTTAACTGATAAAATTAATTACAAACAGCAATATCGATAGTGCGCTTAAAAGCGTGCAAAAGGGCTTTTAATTTGTCAACTCTCGCGTGAGAAAATTGTCATCAATTAAAGTAACACGAAACTATTTTTTTTTTTACTTTACTGTCTCAAAAAGCTTGTAAGGGCTTGTAATTTTTTGTCCTCATTCATCCATATTTTGCATGTGTATAAAGGGGTCATTGCTCTCTACAAAGTTTAACCATCCAATTTACTTAATAATAATCTAGCAAATATTTTCCCCCACTACTCTCCCAATAAGGTCATTATGCATGCAATACAACATAGTAGAGCGTGCAGAATGATCCTTTTTAGACCACGTTTGATAGGTTGTCAATTCTTCCTTGTACTGCGCACCAGCAGTATCATTTGGCTCAATCACAATAGTGGACATGGTTTCCAAAACCTCGCGTTCATTAAGAAGATACTGAATCTTCGTATGCCAGACGTCGTAATTGGTATCATCTAGCTTTTCGTTGGAGGACAAATCTCTAATCATATATTTAGTTGTCATCTACAAATATATAAAATGGACTTTAGGCAGGAGGTCAATATAATTAAATTATAATTTTTATTTTTTGTTTATGCCATGAGTTCGAAAATTTTCCAAGCTCATAATCATCACAAATAACACAAAAAAAATAAATATTATTTAATTAACCTTATTCCAATGTAACATATTCATTTATTCTTGTTATTGTTTAACAAATAAACACAAATATAAACAGCACAAAGATATTTAAGTCTCATAACATGAATAACATATATTCATATATAACTAGTGATATCCCGTGCCATGCACGGAGGAGCTCATATTTTAAATTTTTTTTTAGATTTTATTTTAAATATAATTATTTATATTTTTCACATCTCGTCTATATGAAAATAAAATAAATACAAACAATGACAATATATATTATTAAACACTTATCTTTATAAAATATTTTTTTTAATGAATATTATTAAACCTTATTGTTTTGATTTTATTTTTTTAAAAATCAATTATCTCCATAAGAACATACCATTTTAATTTCAAAAAAAAATTGACAAGTTTGTTAGAGAGATAAATCCGGTTAGATAAATGATTAATTAATTGAGATATTATATTAATTGTATCATAAAAAAATTGGTTAGATAAT